CATCATAATCATAATCATCATCATCATCATCAACAACATTTTCATCATCATAGTTATCATCATCATCATCATCATTACCATCATCATCATCACCATTATCAATCATGATAAATCACCATAATCGTCATCATCATTATCATCACCATTAACAACATTATTATCATCATAGCCATCATCATCATCACCACCACCATCAACATCATGACCATTTTCAATCACGATAAATCACCATAATCATCATCATCATTAACAACATTATCATCATCATAGTCACCATCATCATCATCACCATCATCATTACCATCATCATCATCATGACCATTATCAATCATGATAAATCATTATCATCTCCTCTATAACTTGTTCCAAAATCACTTGCCCTGAACTTTATTTTCGCAGACAAAATTTTCAAATTTCTTTTAGGAAGGAGAGTTTGTAGAAGAAAATAAGATCTATCAGATTCACCCAGCCAGGGAAGAGTCTGGAAGATCAGACAGGACTGATGACGGTCCTAAGAATCTTTACCACAAAGTTTTCAACCGTCAAGAAGGTAAACTAACTTAAGTGAAACTTATGATTATGATTCTAATTCTGTCCAATGGACTGACGACTTGGTTTTTGTTAGCTTTGATGATACTGTATTTTTAGTCCCGGATAGTGCATATATTTCACTCAAAAAGGTGATATTCCTGCCAATAATGAGTCGAGGATTTAAAACTTCATATTATATTGGTTTCTTCCACTGTAGGCCATTTGCATTTCTATATTCATTTTACAAGCTGATAAAGCTAACTTTCTGCATAGTGCATATGATATAACAAATAAATAATGATATAATAAGCACGTTTTCCCTCTCGCACTGTAGATTACCGAAAACCTATGAGAGAAGAGGGCCGATATAGGCGATCAGTAAAAGAATATACTATAGAATTATGTTATATAATTGATGCAGAGGACTTCCAGAAAAGGTAACAAACAAATTCTGAACTTTGCGATAGGGCACTGTCGCACTTTTATCCAACCCCTCTCCGTTGAGCTTATCGATCTGATGGTTGGCAGAAAGGTAATTATATCTGTCTTAAATATTCACTGCAAATTTCAGACAACCATAACACTTCTTACATCTACAGAAAATTGAAGAACGACAACTCCATACGTGCCGAAATATAACGTAAAACTACCTTTGATGTGTAAAAGGTCTATTTCGTTATCCCAATAAAATGGAGAGCAGTGATGTATCACTAAGTCTAAAGCAGTTCATTAGCTCCTTATATACAAAAACAAGGTAAATTCAAATACGGGTTTCTCTTTCAGGTTTTTACCCAGAAATAATAATGATGAGGATGAAGCGGTATCTGATGCCAGGATTTTTTACAGTTACGTTTCAGAGCAGGTATGTTTAATCTTTTTAACAAAATCTCTCGCGCTTTCTTCACAGCGCCCTGTGTCCATAGCATTGATTAGCCCTATAATGTACGGAGCAGTAGAATTCAAAACTCCAGTTCATTAGTCCAATAAGATACAGAACAGTAGGATGTATAAATCCATTTCATTTCATTAGTCCAATAAGGTACAGAACAGTACAATATAAAACTCCATTTCATTTCATTACTAAAAACATAAAATTCCAAATTATCTTTTCCAGATTCGATTGAGGTACATCAGTACATATGAAGTAGATTTATCCTTTATGTTCAAGTTTGTTATAACAGGTTTGGTCATTTTAAAGGTGGGTATAGGAGAATAACGTAGGCCGAAAGTACCGGCCAAGGTATCTGAGATTATTTGGTTTGTTGAAAATTGTATGCTCTGGCATCAGGAACACTTAATAGCCTACTAACTATAAAAGGGATTGTAAGGAGATTTTCCAACCATTGGCACAATTGGAATGTCCCAAATAGAAGTCACAGGTGTCCTCGACACATATAAACCTCTAGAAAACCTCTTTATAATCCCTTTAATGCTTAATACGATCGGATTTGTCATTTTCACTTTTCTGTACATCATCTATATTATGGTTTATAAACTACACTGAAGCATTTTTGTTAAAATTTTCTCTACACAGAATCGTTCTGACTCAGAGTTCTTGGAGGACCTGGTACAGAAGGGTACTAACCGGGGCATTGTAGAGTATAATGATGGACTGGACGCTGCCATTGAGTGGTTGTATATCCATGAAAATTCCTTACCCCCCAGCGACCACTATATGTTTTTTACATCGTAAGTATAACCCCATCATATCCCATTCAGAGCTCATTTTGTATAAGGAAAGAACATATTGTTTCCAAAAGAAAACCCCCAACAAAACAGGCTGTTGTATATGTAGCAGAATTGTCCGGTACCAAATTTCATGGTGCAGGTTGTTAGAAACCATTTATATTCTCTATCAAATCCTTTACTACAGGTATGATCTGGCAGATGTTGAAGATACAGATTCATTGGGTAAGTTCCATTTCCTTAAATTTCATCAACAATGATCTTTCCACTACACCACTATTTATGGGACGACTAGTCCAGGCTACTTGGCAATGCTCTACCATCGTGTAATGGCTAAATGCATTTCCTAAGCATAGAATTGGCAACTTGGGAAGTATGCATTTGGAATATGAGCGACCACTTGGAAACTCCTTGTATCTTCTCATTTCCACCACCTTCGCTAGTTTCCGCGAGTTGAACATCCACGAGCAGAGTTCTAGTCTCAAAGTTGTATATGTGTATTTTTTACCTACAGGTTTGGCCAATCTCGGAAGTATGTGTCTAAGAGATGAAGACAACTATCCTTTATCAGCTTCCATCATAGAAAACGGCTTTGATGCTAATGTCGGGGCTACTGCAGCCCATGAACTGGGCCATTGGTAAGCAAACAGTTGCTCTTCCATGTCCTTTCGATCAACCTAGTAATATATTCCTGGTTTTCCATATAATAGTGTAATGGAATAAACAATATCAGCAATATTGAATAAACAGTCGAACAGTGGCATCAGGTGTTCCAGAAGAGCAAATATGTTTCACCGATCTCTTCTTTGTTGTTGCATTGGGATTGAGCTTGAGGAACGAACCACAAATTAGATTCGACTTCAATAATGTAATATCGAATCACGAATGTAAGGATAATGCATAGAAGATTAGGATACGTTATAGAAAAGAATCGGACAGGAATCACAAACTATAATATCTATAATGAATTACGAACAATTTTCAGATCAACTACACATGACATTATCATTGTAATACTTTCTTCCTACAGTCTAAACGCCGACCATGATACAGACGCCGGATGTGACGACGGAGATCTGTATTTGATGTCGGAGAGATCCCTACATCCTAAGAATCCAGAACAAGCTTCCAATCCTTGGAAGTTATCAAATTGTTCCGTTCGAGACATGTTGCTATATCTGTGAGTACTGGAGATTTGACTTCTCGGGGAGGGTTTGTAGTGAAGTCGGTTAGAGCGCTAGATCTTTGCGTCATGTGTTTGGTTTCGAACAAACGATCTATGATTGTAATACAGATCGTGTTTGACCTTCAGTAAGACATCTGTCCCCCTTATTCCAGTCGACCAAGCAATGAATTGGTACGGATAATCCGGTAAAGATCATTGCCAAGAGGTTTGGCCAAGAACCAACTGGTAGACATGAAAAAAATGGGAAATAGGAGTTCAAATTTTCTTCCGCCGATAACGATAATTTACTATGAAATGGAATTGTAATGTAAATATAATGTTTTTAGACGACTATATCCCATAAATGTTCCTTTATTATTTTCAGAAAAACGGAGAACGTTTCGTGTTTGTCAGACACCAAAAGTAACACTGATTCTCTCAGAGAAATGCAGGTCAAAGATGGCGTATATTACAGTCTTGGGGAACAATGTCGCATGGCTTTTGGCGCCGGGTCACAGTTTTGCCAGGTATGTATATAATATTCAGGCACGCCAAACAATCCAGGGCTGAGTTTCACCGCCATGCCATTCGACCCGACCAGATCTAACGAAGTATCAACAACCAAACCTACAACCACCAACATCCAATTTAAACCAAACCCACTACCAACTACTACTACTACCAACAACTACCTAGTTTGCAATATCAGTATCCGCTGGAAGCGAACGTTAACTTGTTATCTACCAACCATCCATGCTATAGGCTATATTGTATTGGGATGAAAGTGAATGAAAGGATGAGGGTATATTCTAGTTAAATCCGTCTCTTTGGGATTTCCCATCCTATCCCATCCCATACCTTATCTACGATTATATCCCATCCTTATCTTATCCAACCTTTGTCTTATCCCACCATATCTCCTATTCTATACCATTACTACCATAACCTACCCAGTCCCCAATGTCTTATCCTATCCGTTCTATTGTTTGTATGCTTTTTCAGGGAAAGTACACGAACCCGGCCAGTAATGCTACTTTCTGCTATAAAGTTTACTGTACAGATTCTAAGGGAAAATGTGAACCAATTTTTCCCAGAGATTATACCAAGTGCGGTAACGATCATGTAAGTTTTACTTTTTCAGGTGGGCGGATTATAATCTGATGTACATAGGACAAAGTCCATATTGTTTCTAGGTTTTGCTTGCATTGGTGATGCTTTTTTCAGTTTTGACAAGTAACTTACGGTGTGTTCCATAGCCATCTTACATCGCAGAAATATACTTCAGATGAGTTTTATTCTCAAAAACTTGGACGTGGAAAGAAGTCCTTACAATATAGAGCTACATTTATTGTTCTTGCATTTCAGTGGTGTTATAAAGGAGAGTGCATCAAAGGTGAGTAGGCCTCAGTAGAATGACCAATTATGGGAAAGAAAAACCTTAAAGAGGCCGTCATATTGCTCGATTTTTGGATTTTACTATCCCACATTTCGTTTCGTTATCAAGATACTTGTTCCACATAACACTTGTGATTGGTTTAAAATAACGTCATTAGAACGATACTGTGGTAGAAAGCCTGTTAGATTACGATAGACACGAAAATTAAAATCTGATATAACATCATAATATTGGTCTCAGTAAGATAGATGATCGTCACGATCTTTAAACCTTCATCTTTTCTTCGAGCCTATCTTTCAAAGAAGTCATATAGCAAATAAAGTTGCTTTTTTTACTGCTTTTCTGAATTATAGCTTCTGCAGAAGATTTTCAAATGGAATTAGAAGGCGATGACACCGAAATTGACATACCGCAAGATACAGTCGAAGTTCTTTCCCATGTGAAATATACCAAATCATCACCAGGTGACGTCATCGTCTTTAACTACCAATGGAATCCAGAGTTTGCGGATTCTCTTTTTCATTTTAACATATCGAGTAAGTAGGCAAATGTTTCATATGAAAAACCATTTCATGAAAAACCATTTCATTTCATTAGTCTATTAAGGTACAGAACAGTAGGATATAAAAATCCATTTCATTTCATTAGGTGAATAAGGAACAGAACAGTAGGACATAAAACTCCATTTCATTTCGTATTTTCCAGACGGTCGAATAACTGTGAAAACTGGTGCCTTATTCAACATAACGGAAGCGGAAGTGTTCATTACAGCAACAACCAATGAGACGTATACCACGCTTCCTATTAGCATAATGATATATATTTATAACGAGTCGTATACACCTAAATTTGCTCAAGAACGGTTTGTGGTACAAGTGACCAGCTTACAGATGAAGAGTGCAGAGGTAAGCATGAATTGCGTCCCTTGGTGCAGTTATAGAGTCAGACACTTGCCCACTAGACTAGAGATACGTGGTTTGATCCCGATGAAAGATAGCACTGGTGGCATCTTGTCAGTTCGATGGAGGGGTCGACATTCTTTATCATTCGAGTTATCCCCCTTAATCAACAAGTAAGGGGAATTTCAATAAGACGCACTTGATGATAAAAGAATGTATATACGATATACTGAGCACAATCCCTGTAATTTGGGTTAGTTGTAGTTTTTGACTATATGCATCATAAATTTCGCCTTTTTTTTCTAGAAAGCTTTGGTTGTGATGTCCGACGTTAGCCAGCTTTTATTAGAAGGGGACCAAAAGACAGACTTTAAATTCCTATTGCAAAATTCTCAACATTCCAACTTAGTTCGTCTAGACGAAAAGCAGGTGATACTGGACGCAGAAAAACTACGACAAGAAGGGTTATCGAACTTTATTGTTACTATCGAAGCCATTTTTAAGAATATCCTCAGTAATTTTACAACTGTAGAATTCATTTTTGACAAGTCTATTGAGGACTCTCCAAAAGAAGTAAGTAATCTAAGAAAAGTCTTGACTTCTAAAGAAATAGATCATCAAATGCATCACTTCAACAATGAACTATCAAAGGTACAATTTACAGGATTGTAGCAACGCAAATATCATACATGGATGCTCCTTGGTACAGAGACCTCGACTTGAGATAATGGCAGTTTTTCTGTGTTGAGATTGCTATCTCACGAAATCCAATGGACTGTTTGCTATTGTATATCTCATCCCTCCTACGTCTAAAAAAAACCCTCTAAATTTCTTTATTTTTTGTTATAGAAGAACAACCACTGGTTGATTCCAGTCATCATAGTTAGTATTTTTGCTGTTGGAGGTTTCCTCATCTTCGTCATCATTCAAATACGACAATGTCGAAATCCGTCCAGTCCAAAGTAAGTGACGTCTGGTTAACCACCAAAATTTATTAGTGATAGGTGTTGGGAGATCTGGTCAGAAAGCTTATATATTTGGAACTTAAATTTGACCCAGTAACACGACACACTTTGGCTTCGTTTTAGACCAATCAAATGCAGTGAAAAGAATCAAGGAATCAAACCGGACCATCATTGCTTCTGTAATATATCTGGTGGACTAGTGAGGTCGAGGACAACTTAGTCAGACCTCTTGATTATTCCACACCCTGTGGTTTGCATGACTAATGTTTTTATTCATTTTTTCAGCTTCGATAAACCTTCGTCGCCTCTACCAACATTCAACCCGACCACAGATGCTAACGATGGAGGCAATCTTTCGCCCGTCTTTACGCCTTTGTACAACAACTCACAAGTGCTCAATGGGAGGTCTTTTTCTGATTTAAGGCAAGTGGTCTACCGTGAAAGTTCCGGTAACGCTCTGCAAGAGCACTTTTATGAAAACCATCGATAAATGCCGAATGATGGTCTGGTTATTAAAAATTGATACTTATATTTTTTATGTACTGAATATATTTTATTAATGTTCTTTTGTGACAAAGTTTATTTTTATAATACATTTCCTTTATAATAAAATTTACCACTAAGTGTTCAAATAAATTCTGTATCGAATGGAACCGTGAGTAATCGAGGTGTCAGGTACATGATTATCAGATACAGTAGGTAATACTTGAGGTATGGGTTTCAACACGAACTGCTGTTTGGACTACTGAAGACCATGTAGTGTTCAATAAGGGGGAGCCGATAAGGACAGAGAGGCATATTAGTCTTCTCTTTTCGGTTCATTAATGTCGGGGATCTCTTACACAGTCTGTAGCAAATTGGGTTTGGTTTATTAACCAATCTGAACAACCAGACAGAGTTTTCGAAATAAAATCACAATAATCCAATGGTTACGCTTTACTTTGTAATATACGTTAGAGCTGAGAAGAGTACTTCGGACTAATGCTTATTAATAGAATGTAAACAGTCCTCAAAGGGCGACGAATCGTCAGCGCATTTAGGTAAGCAAGAACTCGAATTTCGGGAATGATTTACTGTTTTTTAACTTCATATAGACTTATAAACGTTCACAGGACTCTAATAGAGACAGAGTGTAAGAATTCGCATTGGAATGCGTTTTGTTAGTACAGAAAATTTATCGTAGCCTGTATAGACTTTTAACCACCGAATAATCCCAACACTGCCTAACAATGTCCAGAGTTTTTTTGTTAATCCGAAAAGTCTATTTAAACTCACTATCTTTAATTGTATTAGGCTGAAGCTTGTACGTGCTATACATCACAATATTAATGTCATAATGCACTTTGAGATATCAATTTATCACACCGTCCTTTATAATAGCCTTGTATTATCAGTTTGGGATTGGGTCATAGGGTCAAAGTCTATTACATTTGGCCCACTCGTTTACAATTTCGGGGGCCTTTTGTTTATTTACCCTGTGTTGTTAAAAAACCTTTAGTTATAAAAGTAAGTCTTCTTTGTTTGTTTTGGAAATATAGAGAAGTGTGGCGTAAAGTTTCGTTTTATTTCATTTGAAAACTCATTTCGAGGTTTAATCAGCCAAGTCACTTATCTTCTATTCGTATTTCATGAAATGGAGAGTAGAGTGTAAAGCTCCATTTCATCTCAAAAGAATGGCAGCACGAGAAACTCTTTTTGGAGGTTTAATCAGCCCATTTATAAAATATAATACATGCTACTTGGCACTTCTATTCTCATACTTAAAGCAGCCCCATGTGCAACTTTTCAGACCAAAGACTTTGTGAAGAAGACCTAAAATGGCAACCTTAAACCAGAATCAAAGTTTTAACCAAAAGTTCCAATACACACTTGACCATACCAGACTCACTCCAGAACAGAGACAATTTTACGAAGAAAATGGATTTCTGGTCATAAAGAAACTGGTTTCTCCTCAAAAATTGAAACTATATAGGTAGGTCAGGTATTTCATATTGCACTTAAAATATCAATTGGTAATTTTGATTGTGATATGTGCCTCTAAATATTGATTGCTTTGCCAACTAAATGCTAAATTCTCACCATCACTTCATAAAGGGATAGCCGTAAGAGACTTGTTACCAAGTTATTTGCTTTACAGGGGCGCAGATCTATAGCGCGACCGATACCTTTCAACCAATCAAATTTAATGTCAAGGCAAGTCCTCTCAGTGGCGGTCCGACATTTGTACTGATCACATGATATGATTGACGAAAATATGCGCACGATAAAATTCGTTACGTGTGCCCCTTCGTAACGGCGCGTCTGTGAGTGGAGATGGGTCCCAAAATGAACGAATGGTCTTCCTGTCTCTCAACCATAATTTGTTGGAATATTGCGCCGCAGGCGCAAAATTTCGGCACTTTTTGATGTTCTCGGATGCCAAATTGTGCCTATTTTACGTCCATTACATACATTCTACTCAACCAAGCTTCACAATTAGTGAAGGGGACACAGGATATCATGTCTCCCCCAGGTTTTCTGACGGAGGGAACATGTCCCCCTGTGACCCCATGATCTGCGCCCATGTTGCTTTACCAATAGTTCAATTTCAGATGCCTATGTGACTTTACAAAATAACAATCTAGCTTCTAGTTTGTCTACAACATAACCAGTGAAAGTGTCTCCTCAAACTGACTTTTGAAATATGTATCTATGTATCTACTTTATCATTTTCAGTGACAGATTTGAAGCAATCTGCAGAAAACAGGTGCAGGTACCAGGAATGGTGATGATGCGTGACATTGCCATAACAACATCAGAATTTATTCCTGGAGAGAAGGCCATTGCTAAAGTTCAGGATTTCACTCATGATGATGTTCTTTTTGAGTACTGCTGTCTTCCAGAGGTAGGTCATACAGTTGAAAAGTATAAAAGCATGTACAGCTGAAGTGGACACATGAGGCCCTTTGCGATTAGTTTTAGTGGAATTGCAGGAACCACAGGCGTCTGATTGAAAATTGATGCTATCTGTGTCCCGAATACACATATTTTTTTTTTGAAAACCTCTTTACAATGCCTTTAAGATGCGTGGTATTTCAGATTGTTGATTATGTAGAGTGTTTCACTGGTCCAGATATTACAGCTGTTCATACTATGTTTATTAACAAACCCCCAGATACAGGTCAGTTGTCTCCCTGTTTCAAAGTTCAGTTACTATATATTTGCGAGCATAGAACGCTCTTTTTACCCTAAACTTTGTGTGCTATTGTTGAATTTCCAGAGGTTTCCCTGTCAATTTTAACAGTCTGGTAAACAAAACCAAACAACAAAGTATTTTACAATAGATATACCAAACACTGTTACAGACTATCAGAAATCGATGCGTAGCTTTCAAACATGGCCACATGGTGTTCCAGGAGAATCAGGGTGTCAAGATTAGCAAAGGTTTCATGCCAGTGCCACTGTACTTATAGTAAAGGTGATTTTGTATTTACCCATTCTGATTACAGGAAGTAAATCATCCAGACATCCCATGCATCAGGACCTGCACTACTTCCCGTTCCGACCAGCTGATAAGATCGTGTGTTCTTGGACTGCCATAGTTCCTGTTAATCGACAGAATGGTTGTCTGGTAGTGGTTCCTGGAAGCCATAAAGGAGAATTACTGCCTCATGTATACCCAGATTGGAAGGTAATGACTTTGAGCAGATTCCAATTTAATTTATTATTAGGCTAAAGAAGATGGAATAAGTCTTTGCATTGAAGACAATTTGCCAGGACAAAGGATACCCGCCAATTCTTACTTAATTTTGACACTGTTTCAACACTGACAGGGGGAAACAAGGATGAGAAATAGAAAAATCTTGATAAAACTGCACAATTTCATGTTGGAGAGCAATTGCTGAGGTCTCTGTAGCATCAGACTAGATCTTGACAATTTTCTTACATAAGTCCTATATTGGAAACACATGTTGGAAGCATGGTCTATTAGCTGTCCTTATGAGGAATGTGTTTCTGAGATGAGCTCTTGCTAATTACAATTTTAACTGCAGAACGGCGTCAATAAAATGTACCATGGAATACAGAATTATGATCCTAACCAACCTCGAGTACAACTGGAAATGGAGCCTGGAGACACAGTGTTCTTTCACCCCATACTGATACATGGCTCTGGCACCAATAAAACCAAACATTTCAGAAAGGTAACACACTTAGACTTTAGGATCCCAAGCATTCCTGAGGGTGCATTAAGTCAAGAGAAACGTGATGAGAAAAACGTGATTGGGGGTCGTTGTTTATCCTAGAAAATTTTAATAAAAAAAGTTTGAAAAATACAGTAATCTGATTGGATACTGAAACGCTATAAAATCAATTTTAGTTACTGACCAATTAGAGAAGTTTGGCAAGTGCGTTGTAGCGCATTATATACACAAATATACGGTATTAAGAGCTCCCATTTAATGCACAAATTTCATTTATTCTCTTCTAGAGTATATCTTGTCATTATGCAGCCAGTGACTGTGATTATATAGATATCAGTAGTCTGTCGACTAAGTATCTGGCCCAGGAAGTTGCAGAGATAGCAAAGAAGAGAGTGGGACAAGATGTTGATATATCCTACCAGGTACAGTCTGTTAAATGCTTTTATGTTTGTGAGAAATGAAGTGGGGGTACAAATCATTTGTCTAGGGGACATTTACACCCACCCCACCCACTCTGTGAATCCTTCCCCGAGTAACCAATCCTCATCATACAGGCAATGTGTTTTTCAGGATCTTTGGAGATTAAGAAGTAGAAGAGTAAAAGGAAAAGAGGATCTTCCCATGAGCAGATTATGAATCGCCACATCTTTTAAACTGGGGCCCTATACGCAACACTTTAGGGTCTATTGCTAGAATCAACAACCAATTATAATGAAAATCAAAAGATCCAATGAACAACTTAGAACTGGGGCTTGGGAATACTTCTAGGGTCTATTGCAAGAAACAACAACCAATTATAATGAAAATCATAAGATAAATACAACAAATTAGAGCCGGGGGCCCTATTTAAGGAACAATTTCAGGGTATGTTTTCAGAAATAACTAATGATAATCTTAAGATCCAATGAACAACTTGGAACTAGGGGCTCTATTAGGAACACTTCTAGGGTCTATTGCAAGAAAGAACAACTTATAATAATGAAAATCAGAAGATTCATTGCCAAGGGCTTGGTCCAGAGAATCAAATGATTATATTTCAGGACAATTGAAATTGAAAGTAAATTGAAAGTGAATTGAAATACACTGATATGTCAAACACTGTGATTAATTTTAAATCCATTGTCATTAACCAATCGGAAGACTCAAACCATTCCGAGTCCAGTTTCTGTGAATTTTCTCCAGGTCTTGCCCGAATTCAGGAACAACTTGAAGCATTAATTGTGATATATATCTTAATTATTTTTTGTTAACCAGGGAAAAGTTTTCTTCACAAATGCTAAGGTATTATGAACTTTATAAGACACGAGTTAGTAATATATTGTCACAATGAAGATGGTTAGATGGGTAAATGTGTGAATTTAAAGCCTAATGTTAATTTTTCTTTGAATAAAGATTACCTTTACACGGAAAGGTGTTTGCCAAGAGTGTTGTTTGCCAGGGAAGGTGTTTGCCAAGAGTTTTGATCAAGAATCAGCTAGTGTACAAGATCAAATGCGATTTGACACTGGAGCAACATTTCTAAGATGACGCTTTAGGACCTATCCTTCTGGTCAGGGAAACATCGACAACAGACTATTTTAGGATCCTCTCCGATACGACCTTGGATACCGCCCCTCTTAAATCTTGGGATGGAAAGTTTAAATTTGGAATTATATATAAGAAATACTATCGTGGGACAATTTATCCCAAGTTTTTCCGAGGAGCGGGGGCCCTGGAATCTAATGCCTTAGGGCCAACTAGTATTTGCCCTCAGACGGACTAACCATCGACCCAATTCATCGTATCTCGAATACGAATGCGGGTTTTGACATTGTCTTCGAGTAAGTATGACGAATGGGGCGTGGTTTGGACACGATCCGTCCCAATTGTGTTTCAAATAACTACACAATGCAAGGACAAGATGATTTATTTTCTTCTTGGAACTAAATTATTTCACCTCGCGTCGCATAGAATGGGAATCTGAAATTGAAAGAAGATTGAAAATTACCAAATCAATATCAGAAATTTGCGATGTTTCTATGGTGATGTTGAATTCACAAACCATATATCATTTGGTATGCGGACACTCTGAAAGTCGGATTAACAGACAAAATTACCAAATAATCCACGTCTAACACGTCTTAAGTATATACGAACATTTAATTACTTACACACCTTTAGTTTATTCAAATTAAAAAAATTAAACCGTATAAGTCCTCTATCTATGCTTTCGTAACTTTGTCATTTGTACAAAGTTACAACCTTTACTCCCCAGAGTCAAGATAACTTGGCAATGTGCTTCCTAAATTGCTTGTTTTTGCACCACATTGAACCTAATCTGCATGATGCTGTTCGTAAACGACTCAAAGGGCCGTATGCAGCGCTCTTACCTTGACTAAAGTTGAACTTTGGCTAAAGTCGAACTTTACAAAGTAAGGATTAAGGGTTTGATTTTACACATTTGATAGTCAAATTTAATTTAAAAGATCGTTCGGTGCATACTTAAAGTTCGACTTAAGTCTAACTTTAGTCAAAGTTTAGGTAGAATACGCGCGTTGCATATGGCCCAAAGGATACTTGAATTAGTCGGACCCATTTGCCTTAGAATATGTTGGACTCTGCCTTAGCTACATGATGCTGTTCGGAAACACCCCTGGATGAAAATAAATATCCTTTACCTACTTAAAACAAAAATAACTCACCAAAGTATTTAGGCTGCTGTCACGGGTGGTACTGCAGGTGATGCTGCTGCAGGTGCACCTCCTGACATCAAAGCCATCAGCATTGCCATGAGTTGGTCCAATTTAGCGGTCATTGCGGCTGCAGCTGCTGCTGCGTCAGCACCACCGGCAGCGTCAGGACCACCATGTCCATGGCTATGACCATGTTTACCATGCTTGCCCTTCTTGTGTCCGTGTACTGTGACCAAAACCAAACAGGCTACAAACATCAACAACAGAGTAATCTTTCCCATTGTAGTATTGGACGATAATGCGTAATACAACTTCAGCACAATGAATTAATGATGATGACTTGATGATGATCTTGAGTCTTTTATACACAATTCACATATAAAAATATGCCTCATTATGCAGGGCATCTGTTATTTCTCAATATTTAAATATGAAAAAAATTCAAAACGTATTTAAACCAAACATCAACAGTTTTTAAGAGTGATTTTGAACAAAAACATGGGTGGTGTTTGTTAAGGCCTACATTCAAGTTCTCATGTGTTAAATTATGCTATCGTATACACGTGTGTCCATAGCAAACCATAAGCTCCTGTTAATTTTAGCCTTCAAATTCACGTATGTCCAGAATTATCCGCGTTTGAATGTAAAAATGGCGACTCGTCATTTTAAGATAATCTGTGATATATAGAAAAGACATAGACACAAATAGTGTGTAAAATTCTAGTTTGAAGTATTTTTAAAGGAATTATGCGAAGAGTTTTTTTACAATTCCAGTACCTCTGTAGACTATTTGACACTCAAATAAACCCCCGAAACTGCCACTTTAACTTGATTTATTAGAGGAATTAAAGACTAAAATAACCCACTTAAAATGCCGCATACGTCCCTTTAAGTTAAAAGTGTAACAAGATATGCAAATTGACAACTGCTACAGTACTCGGTGCGACACACACCATTAACACCATTGCCCCCAAAAAGAATATTTACTAATTGGTAATAAAAAGTCTAATTCGATGGGATCCTTCACAATCGACGATCTTAATTTGTGTAATTTTTTTTATGTCAAATGTATTTAAGCAAATTTCAGTGGTTGGTTGGTGATTGAACGTTTTGTACCTTTGAGGCTTGGCCCTATGTATATTATTGATTATGTTCCGAGGGCATATACATGGGTGCTTGATATGCAACTACAGTCGAGCCCATCGTATCCCGAATACGGGTTGTAACATTTTCTTTTTAATTTCAAGCAAGTATGGCGAATGGGTGTGTGGTTTGGACACGTTGAGTCGGCCAGATAAGATGAGTTTTACGCCCTACTTTTCTGCACCTTGTGAGCTAATGAAAACGGGCAACGCTATGCTAGGTACGATGAGTGAAATTTTGCCAAGACAGCGACATTAATCTGCTCTTTTTCGATTTCCAACTGTCGAGGGATGTTTAATATACACATGCCCAGCCACCAGCACACATCCGAATGTCAGACACCCTACTATAACTGTTTCCAACTGTCTAGGGATTTATAGTGTACACAGTCTGTAGCACACGGGGCCTCGGTTTATGATGAATCAGCCAAGATTTTTCGCACAACCAATGTAACAAATCGTTTACAGTTTCTAGATATTCCCCAGGCGCTCTTGCAGCAGATTCTGTTTTACGGAAACTGCGACGATTGCCGATAGCTTTAAATGTCGGTTTCCATTCGGCAGTTTCCGTAAAGTTGAATCTTAATTTGCAACGAATGAGTCGATTGGTTGTAGCAGATCATGTACCTGAGATCCAAAACCATCCTCCCAACGACGTGAGCTAAGTTCCAGTTTCTAATATGGGACAGGATTCCCAAATCAATTCCACTCATATATATACTAAGGGATTTTGATGCTTTTCTTCAAGGCAGATATAGGACTGGAATAGGAGGTGGGCAGATCCTTTACCCGTCACCCAAAACCATCATATAGAGGAACACCCTATAATTTCAGAGACAAAGGATTGGGAGGAAAAACTAAAATAAAATTTTTCAATGGTTTTTATTTTCTTAATTTTCATTAGAGCACTGCCAATAAGGAAGCTGAAATGATAAAACAGAAAATTAACTAACAAATATCTTAAATAATGAAAATATACTGGGCTTCATAGGAGACTCCCTGTGCGCCCTAGTAACTTTTAGTAAGCTTCGCATATAACACATTTCCATGGCTGGAATGAGCTTAGCTTACTGTCCCAGGTTTTTCTGAAACATATGGAGCAAATAAAATGAAGGTCTAGTCTTACTTTGTTGCACCTTATTGGTCCTGGTAAAATAGAATAATACACATGAATGTACGAATGTATAAAATAGATAATAAATATTTAGGTCATAATTTGAGTGGTTAAGCTTTTATTCAACCGTTACAGATAGTACCCGTTACCGATAAGCTGCAGAAAGTAGGACGTAAAACTCCATTGCATTTAATCTTGAACCCAGTAAAGGAGGGGGGGGGGGGGGGGGGGGATGTTGGGACAAAATTGAAAACCATACAAACCTAGATTTTGATTGAAACGTCGGAACTTTGAATAATTCAAAAATGTTTTCTCTTGCCATTTAAATGACCAATCCATATCTTATGAACTTATAATCCTGCTGAAAGTGTAATTTAATCCCTGGAAAAAGCAATATTCAAATCCAAAATTAAAGCTGGGCATGCTTTACCAAAGATAGTGGACCACAGCCATTTACGCCCTTCATAGCATCCGGATGGTAAAAACGAAACATCCATTTTAAATTTCATCAAAATCGGTTGAAAACTAAGAGTAATAGCATATTCAAGATTATGAGGCAAGGGCAATAACTCTGCTTCTAACGGTTGAAAATAGCTCAAATTCTTACCTGATCTTTGTTTTATGAATATGTATACACATAACGAATTTCATTTGATTCCATCAAAAAATCTAGCTTTTAGAGCGTTTACAAGCAAATGTTGACGGACCGACGGACGGACAGGGGTGCCGACAATATACGTCCACATTGAGAGATGTGGGCGTAAAAAAGGAACACGGAAACAGATCAGAAACAGCACGAACAGTACAACTAACTAGACAATGTCAAGTCTAGTCTTTCCGTTTTAATCATGGTCCCATTCATATATATATGCAAGGCATCTGATCCATATGCTGCCCATAACAGTAGAAAAGTACTATACGCCTACGACCAACGCAGCAGTACAGTAATATACGCCTACGACCAACGCAGCAGTACAGTAACTAACGCTTACGACCAACAAAGCAGTAACATAAGCCCACGATCAGAAGCACAGTGACGTACACCAACTACCAACGGAGCAGTAACAATCTAACGACCAACGGAGTAGTACATACGCCAATGAGAAGCATGGCAGTAAAATACGCCCACGACCAGCAGCACAGTAACATACGCCTACCACCAGTAAGACCACTAGGGATAAAACATACGCCAACGATCAGCAGAACAGTTACATACATCTACGGCCAACGGAGCAAATGAAATGAATGGAGTTTTACGTCCTACTCTTCTGCACGGCCAACGGAGCAGCTACATAATCCAACGACCAACGGAGAAGTACATACGCCCCCGACCAGCAGAGCAGTAACATACACCCAGCGTCAGCAGAGCAGTAACATACGCCAAAGATCAGCAGTACAGTAAAATACGATCAAGATCAGCAGTCCAGTAACATACGATCAAGATCAGCAGTCCAGTAACATACGCCCAAGATCAGCAGTGCAGTAATATACGCCCAATATCAGCAGTGCAGTAATATACGCCCAATATCAGCAGTGTAGTAATATACCCCAAAGATCAACTGTGCAGTAACATACGCCTAAGATCAGCTGTGCAGTAACATACGCCCAAGATCAGCAGTGCAGTAACATACGCCCAAGATCAGCAGTGCAGTAACATACGCCCAAGATCAGCAGTGCAGTAACATACGCCCAGGATCAGCAGTGCAGTAACATACGCCCAAGATCAGCAGTGCAGTAACATACGCCCAAGATCAGCAGGGCAGTAACATACGCCCAAGATCAGCAGGGCAGTAACATACGCCTAAGATCAGCAGGGCAGTAACATACGCCTAAGATCAGCAGTGCAGTAACATACGCTCACGATCAGCAGTGCAGTAACATACGCCTAAGATCAGCAGGGCAGTAACATACGCCCAAGATCAGCAGGGCAGTAACATACGCTCACGATCAGCTGTGCAGTAACATACGCCCAAGATCAGCAGGGCAGTAACATACGCCCAAGATCAGCAGTGCAGTAACATACGCCTAAGATCAGCAGTGCAGTAACTTACGCCAAAGATCAGCTGTGCAGTAACTTACGCCCAGGATCAGCTGTGCAGTAACATACGCCCAGGATCAGCAGTGCAGTAACTTACGCCAAAGATCAGCTGTGCAGTAACATACGCCCAGGATCAGCAG